TTCGAGAAAAATAATAAGGTAATATTGTGGAGAGAACAAGTAGAAACAGTTGATTAGCGCCCTGAGTAGGACAGAGAGACAGTAAGTTCTGACTTACGTTCCCTTAGAGAAGTAGCAAGAATATGCATAATCAGAATTGTCATTGGGTTGTACAAGTAATATAGCGATGGCGCTTTGAAATAAACCAGGTGTCATGAACCAATTGGAAAGCGGCATCTTGCTCCTTGTATCGGAATCCAATTGACAGCGCTGTTTTTAAAGAAATGGATATTACAGTTGTTCCAAAACTACGATTGATAATCTATTATATTTCTTCTTGGACTTCAACAGCTAGTTGCTACTATCAACTATTTAATTTAAGCTCATGCCACATGAAGTTTTCTACGGGAGACATTTAGTCAGCCAATTGTTTCGGATTCAGTTGACGTCCGATGGGATATTACTGACTCCTTTTGGCAGAAAAACAAATTTTCAGCAACCGTTCCGTGTTGAAACCGCACAGTCATTGAGTTTGCGACAACTCAGTGATTAAACTGTGAATTTACGCACCGAACGGTCCGTGGTCCGACCCCAATGCTATCACCAAAACGTTGCGCGAAATCTCCGATTCCCGTATCTATAAATGTCCTTTTGTTATAGGTCGTCAAGTTGATCAATCAACTAAAATTTTTGGACCTGGTCACCCTCCAAGTTGCAGTGAAAATTGTCCATAATAGATTCTACAGAAGAACTTGTTTGAATGATACAATGGCCTGGACGGGGGCCAACCCAATGGTTCTGTAAGCCATTTTTCTCAGAAGCCTTCACTCAAACAGCTGGGAAGAATTCAGACGCCTGGTGTGAGTTGTGTGACCGTTTCGTGGGTGGTCCTCATTCCGCTTATATGCGCGTTAATCACAATCTATACGTACAAGAAAAGTTGGAGAGATCAAATAACCCAGAATGTCGTAGAATGTTGTAGGATGATTCTCAACAAGGATAAACAACTAAGTACCGCTTCTGAGCTCTCCAGCGCTGAGTGACCCCTCTATCAGGCTGAAATTTTGATTGAACTATTTAGGCAAGCAATAACCCATACGAAATTGCCGAACTTCCATAGGAGAGTTCAAAAACCCACTTCGAGCTACATCCTTGGTTTCAGGCGCTGAGGAGCGTTCCGAGTCAACCGGTTTTGCTTTTAATATTGTGTGCTAGAAGAGTTTGTCAATCTTTATAAAGATGGTTATTCCATTCAGTGAAATGTGGACGCTGAGGGAAATCATTATGAGAAAACGACACTTTCAACGGGGTTGCATAATTCACAGCAACCACACCATGCAGGTAAAAAGCTCGCGGATTCAGCACTCAGGGGATCAGAAAAGGCAAAAGGTGATGTAATAGTTTGATGGTCAATGTGATTAAAAGCATTTGTACTATCCCCAGTATTCGGGTAGAGGTTTTAGTGCTATTTTACTCGGATTACCCTGCGCCAAATGATATCAACCTTGATAATGTTACGAATAGGGACTTCTACGCTACGGCACATTGCCACATTCAAGCATATCTTTCTTGTTAGATGTGGGATGTTCCTTAGTGGAATCCGTCAGTCCATTCACTTTGTCTGCTTTTCCTCATAGGGGAAAAGTACTACGGATGCAAAAGATACAAACGTCCGCGCCTACTGGTAATGCTAAAAAGAGTCAAAAGAAGCCACAAAAGATACCTAATACGTAGACAGACGTCAGTTTCCCTAGTTCTTTGATCCTTCCTGAAACCCAGCGCTCTTCGTTTGACCATCCTACGGTACTTACTAATATCCACGATCAGTGTGTTTGGTGTGGCTAAAATCCGGATCAATTATACCATCAAAATCCGGCATTCAGTGCGTTGGAGTCTACTTACGTTGAATCCTAAAAGTATCAGTGATCCGTAGAGTATCTTGTTGAAAATCGAAACCATATACTTCTCCAACACCTTTGCACAACCGATTTTGGTGTTGCTGTTCTTGTCATCCGGGTGGTCGACGCAGTTTTGCGCGTTGGGAATTGTAAAATTCTCGTTTAATTTGCAGCACATTAAAGGAAAATCCAGACCTGGAGTGGAACACAAAATGACACAGGTTTGTCACATTCCTTCCAGATAAACGATTGTGACAATAAGAAATACCTATTGAATAAACCCTTCGATAAATTTCTGAAGGAAACAGCTTCTCTCCGTTTACTTTGAAAAGTGTATGTCACACTATACATAGTGTAGTAACGGTATGTTTCTCAGTTTAGTTCACGGTCTGAACCTCTTAAGATAGCGTTCACGTCAAAACAACTACCAAAAGTGCACAAGGTATATTAACACCCAAAACGAAGTCAGGGACAGTTGTGCACCGCTTCATATATATAGCGTAGGCGGCAGTGCCTTTCTGGAAATTCTGACACGTTCTGGATGCGCCATTGGCAACCGACATTCGGCCAATACTGGGTCATGATTGGCTGTTAGGTCCAGACTTTCGACCAATCAGATATCGTCTTGATGCCGGACCGCATTCTTAGCTACTCTTGCGTAGGATGGACTTCTCGGCAGTAGCAGAGCTTGAGTTCTAGCGGTAAAGCGGAATCCGTGTGAAATGGAAGCTCGAAATTCTTTGTGAGTTTCTGTGTTAGCGTTTATTCAGGTGGTGAGCTACCGTCTTCAACCACTGAAGACTTGACAGTGTCCCGATGCGAGTTTAGATTTAAATGCAAAAGAATCATAAATGCGTCCCTCCTGATAATCAAGGAACAATTGATCAATGGATTTACGCTTCCTTGGTTATTCTAGACACTGAGAAAGCC